GGGAAGGGGATAAGGCCAGGCTCTCTAGAGATGAGCCTGAGGGTGACATACCAGAGCTGGTGCAATGGACAGCCCAGCTGAAGTGCACCTACACCAATGCACGAGGATAACAAACAGGAGAATCTGGAAACTGTTGTGCAGCAGAAAAGCTATGATGTGTTTGCCATCATGGAAACTTGGTGGAATGCCTGCCATGGCTGGAGTGCTGCAATAGATGTCTATAAATTCTTCAAAAGGGAGACGGGCAAAGCAGCAAAGGGGTTGGGGTAGCATTGTGCCTTAAGGAGTGTTTTGATGGTATTGACAGTGATGATGATGAAGATGACATGGTTGAGTGCCTATGGGTGAAGCTCGGGGCAAAGATCATCAGGGTGGGTGGTGGGAGTCTGTTAAACCACCCAACCAGGATGAACAGGCTGACGAGGCATTCTGCAAGCACTGGCAGAAGTCTCACAGTCTCCAGACCTAGTACTTGTGGGCAACTTCAACTTGCCAAGTGTCTGCTGGAAATACAACACAACAGAGGGAAAGCAGTCTGGAAGGTTTCTGAAGTGTGTGGAAGACATCTTCCTTACACAACTGGTAAATGAGCCTACTAGAGGAGGTGCTCTGCTGGACTGATTGACTGTGAACAGAGAAGGACTGGTGGGTGATGTGGTGGTCAGTGGCTATCTTGGGCATAGTAACCATGAAATGTTAGTTTTCAATACTGGGTGAAGTAAGGAGGACCACCAGCAGAACTTTCACCTTGGTCTTCCAGCAGGCAGACTTTGGCATGTCTAGGAGATTGTTTGACAGGAGTCTATTTGGACTCAGCCCTGAGGAGGAAAGGAGTCCAGGAAGGATGGCTGTGTTTTAGAAAGGAATTGTTAAATATTCAGAAGCAAGCTATGCCCACATGTAGAAAGACAAGTTGTCAGGAATAAGACTGACCTGGTTAAACAGAGAACTTTGGCTGGAACTTGAGGAAAAAAATGAAAACTATTATCTGTGGAAGTAGGATGAGGTAACTTCACAGGACTGTCAGGATGCAGTAAGGCCATGGACGGAGAAGATTAGAAGGGCCAAGTTCTAGCTCAGCTAGAGCTTGATTTGGTCTTCAGTTAAGGACAATGAAAAAACTTTCTATAAATACATTGGCAGCAAAAGGAGGCCAAGGACAGTCTCCATCCCTTGTTGAGTACAGAGGGTAGTGTAGTGACAAACAAGGAGGAAAAGGCTGATGTACTTAACGCCTTTTTTGTCTCAGTCTTTAATATCAAGATCAGGTGTCCTCAGGATATGTAGCCCCCAGAGCTGGAAGTTAGGGACAGGGAGCTGAGTGAAGCCCAAATAATCCAGGAGGAAGTGGTTGGTGACCTGCTATGCCAGTTAGATACAAGTCTATGACACCTAATGGGATCCACCCCATAGTAATGATGGAAGAACTTGCCAAACCCCTCTCAATCATCTACCAGCAGTCCTGGTTAACTGAAGAAGTTCCAGCTGACTGGAGGTGGGGATTAGTCACTCCTGATGTGCCTGCAGTGAGAGAACAAAAGGAAATTGCCTTAAGCTGAGACAGGAGAATTCAGATCAGTAACTGGAAAAAATATTTTCTCTGCCAGGTGGTCAGGCACTGGAATAGGTTGTCTATTGTCTATTGTCTAGGGGTAGGTGGTGGAGTTGCCATCCCTGGAAGTGTTCAAGAGGCACCTGGGTCTGGTGCTGCTGGTGTGGTTTAGTGTTTAGGGACTACAGTCATAGTTCTGGGTGAACAGTTGGACTGGATGATCTTATAGGTCTCTTCCAACTTTGATGATTCTAAGGCAAAGACTGCTGTGGCTGAGATGAAGGACAGAGAACAGGCTTCTTAATAAATCAAATGAATCTAAATATAAGTTAGTCCAGTCCCAAGAGACACTTGTAATTACTCTGTTCTGTGGCTGATTTATTTATAACTGTAGAGTTGCAATGGGAACAAAACATGAGGCCAAATTCTGACCTCAGAATATAAATCTAGAATCATTTTGCTCTGATTTTTTTTCGGTTTTGATGACATTACTTGGAGTTCATTATATTGTGATTGAGGTCAGAATCTGTTCTCTTTTATCTGATTTTGAGCACAAAGAGCAGCAGGGTGTATGTTCAAACTAGGACTGCTGGCACCTTGATATGGGCATTGGTACCTTGAGGCTGACCAGATTTTGAGCCTCTTCTTTGTGCCAGAGACAGATAGACAGACTGACAGGCTCTCCAAGATTGAGGAGTATAGGTAGCTCACCAAAAAGTTATCAGTTGCTTTCAGTGATACTAGGAGATGCTTTTTAACTCTTTAGGACACTGTGTCAGTTTGTAAATCAGTTTTGCTGAAATATGAAATAAGAGAGCCACTACCAATTCTCCTGTGCCCAAATGATATATTTGTGATAGCAGCAATGTTTCACTGTTTATTTAAGAGTAAATGAATCATACACAACTCCATAAAATAGGAGAGATTCTGCAACAGCAAGTGAAACTTTGCAATTGGTCTGAAACTTTGATTCATATGAGGAGCAGGAGGAAACACTGCAAGTTTATTGTGAATCCTAGGCTGTTCTATACCAACTATTTTTAAAAATATGTTGTTTACATGTCCTCAAATTGACAGTGTAATGCATCTAAAAAACTGTCAGGTGAACATCCTCTCTTGCAGCAGAAACAGTGCTCTGCGGCTCTTGTAGTTACTGCCTGTAACTGTGAAGGAACATGGCCTGAAGAGAAATTAAGGGATTTATCAGCTTGGTTTATTCAGATTGTTTTAGTCAGTTAATACAGAAGTATGAATATCTTCATTATAGCAACATTCTTCAGTAACAATTATGTGTCAGCCCTTGCAAGATTAAACTAATTATTCTCCATTTTGGAACATATTTGTTCTGGATTACAAAATACAGTGCTTTCAAGAATTCATTTCTCAGTTCAGCAAGCCAACTTGCAGTGAAAAGTGTCAGTTATTCCCCTTCCTCCTTTTTAAAGACTGGATATTTTCTTGGGTATATTTTTTAATTTCTGGTATGGGTATATTTTACAGAAATGCAAAGCAGGTTGCTGCTATAATAATTCCTGAATTTAGCCGTGCTCTGATGGCTGGAATGTGAATGTGATCCCCCTTGTTAAAGAGCAACTACTTGGAGTTTCTATTATGTTTTTGATAGATTATGTTTATTTTGCCCTTGGAAATAACAATTGTTATAATCCAGGTGCTTGGGTAATTGTGTGGACTTGTGATTTAAACATTGCCTAGACATCTGTACATACTGTCATTTCTGTAATTTAACCATGTCTCAGTTCATGTTTTGAGCATTCAAGCCTTCTCTGTAACCTTCTATAATAGCTTTAGCATTTAAATGAATGGATTTGACAACAAAAAGCAAACATTTCTTAAGATAAAGCAGCTGTGCTTTGATAGATGCAGCTATTTTCTGATCCTTGGTTTGTACATCAGGAATAAGAAGAGTAGCACTGCATGTCTACAAGCTACTTAAAATTATTTCAAAAGGATTTTGAAATATCTGGTTAACCCAGTACAGGCCAAAAAAACCCAAGACATTTCCCAAAATTATCTGCACCTCAGTAATGGCAAATATAGAAGCAGTTCAGGGATACTTCGGCAGGCTGATGTGTTTCCCTACTCACATGCTGATGGACATACCAATGTTAATATCCACAGTGGGTATATCTTGGTACCTCCTTGGCCAGGGATTCCAAAATAAGATGCATGTTTATGTCGATCAGATGCAGACTGGTTACAGCACAGTTGATAATTTATGTCATCTGTAATCAAAAATTTTGGTATGGAAATTCTCTCTGTATGTCCTCACATCACCCTCAGTGAAACCGGGCAATTTGTCTGTCAATTCACCACTCTTATGAGTGCTGAGCAACATTTAACAGGGGACTAAAATTTGAAAACTAGAGAGGTTGCAAAAGTGTTAGTTTAGTACGTCCACCTTCTTTCTGCCAATAATAAACGTTTTTCTTCTTCAGAGCATGAACTGGGCTTTTAGACAGTATGGAAATGCTTGGCTGTGAGGGTTTTTCTAATTTTTTAAGAGGCAGTAGCTGCATTTATGTGGTTCAAATCCAACTACAGCATGAATTAGATAACTAACAAATCAGGAAACTGTGCAACAAAGCAGAGCAGCAGTAAAGTTCCAAGCATGGCACTAAAGTCATTATGTCTGAGAGACAATCATAAAAGGAGATAAAATTTTCGGATTTTGGGGATAGCTTAGCGGCACATAACTCCATGCAAGATCAGTCTTAATGGAGAGCAGTTCTGAAGAAATTATTTGTGCCTCATTATTGATGCCTGACAGTTTATTAGCAAATGGTGCTTTTGCAGCTGCTTTGGAATCTCCAGGTACAAAGTAGTGTAACTTTAAAAGTGTTTTGAAAGAGCCATTCCTGTATCTCTTCAACAGATTTTCTATTAAAGGAGCAATTGGATTGGTACATGTAACTGTGAGGAAGTTGAAAGCAAAAAGGTCCTTCTGTCAGTTATTTAAAATTTGTTATTAAATTTGATGTTGTGAAATGCCACTGTTGAGAAACATGAGCAGGAAGTGTATTACTTCTAAGTGCTCTATATGTATCACTTTGGGGAACAGTTACTGTATGATGTAAATCCATCCATGTTAATAGTTAGATGTGCACTGCAGTGAAAATCACCTATGTTACAATACTGGATAGATTCACCAGTATATTAAATACACTTAAATATATTCACCAGTAAATTATATATAGGAAAAAAATAACTTGTTCCTGTCAGTCTCGATCCATTAAAGTTGTTTATTCATTTGGCTATCTTTGGTGCTAGCTCTCAAACAAATGCATGCATAAAGTGATATTCTGGATTGGAAGGGAGGCCTAGGAAGTCATAACCTAGTTTGCAGTTACAATCTCACACTTGGCTATAAAGTTTTTGTCTCGAGGGATTGACAAGATGGCTATGACAATCTTGCCTTCTCTATTCACAGGTGTTCCCTTTCCAAAGAACTTTCTCCAGATCTGCAAGAAGATACTCTGTAGGCTTTTTCGGGTGTTCGTTCATGTCTACATCCATCACTTTGACCGTATCATCCTTATGGGGGCTGAGGCCCACGTCAACACCTGCTACAAGCATTTTTATTATTTTGTGACAGAGCTCAACCTCATAGACCGCAAAGAACTAGAGCCTTTGGTAAGTGTGGGGTCTGGGCAAAAGCTCTAGGAAGTTTTCCTTCTCCCTTCACCAAGACATTCTCATCCTTGTTGCAGTGAGTTTCCTCTAGGAACAAGGTTTTTCATCCAACACAGACAATTTAAAGGGATTAACTCTGCCTCTCTGCATAGACCCATTCCTTCTGCTGCAGTATTTGTGAAATCCTCAGTAGGCTCTGTAGAAAGAAAAAAAGTGTAATGTATGTTGTATGGAAAAAGATAGGGTGGAAAATCCTGGCATTTGAAAATAGAAGTTCATTTGTCTTTTGCTTCCTGCTGTACTATATACTGAGTATATAATTTTATTCAGTCTGTTTTCACTGGTCAGTAACAGCATGGCACTAAGTCATAGCAGTCACTTAAATGCGTGTAAAAGGAACAATTATCTATATAAACGTGAATTGTGAGGTTTTTTAAGTCCTTAAGTAGGTGTTTGTGAAGGTATTGAGTGTATTAGATCCAGAGCACACTCTGAATCTAAGGGAGATAGATGAAGTGAGACAGAGGTTCAGATAATTAGCAGTTTAACAAAACCAGACACTTCCTTGTGGACTGAAATAGATTAAAATTAAAATCATTGTTTCCAGAAACAAGCACCCAGAAATGGAAATGTTTTTGCTGTTGCTTGCAAATGCAAATAAAGAAAAATATAAGCAGAGAAGGAAAAGTAAGGAACAATTCAGAAAGCAGTTCAAATCCTAACTGTGGGTGTCTAGCCAACTTTAAAAGGGATTGGGGAGACATTTCCCCATAGGTTAGAGTTTGGACTATACTGTATCATACAGCCTATTAGGAAGTTCTGGAATCACTGGGTTGTGTTTTTGGTTTTTGTTTTTTTTTTTTTTTTGCACAGAATCACAAGACAGCTGAGGTATTGGCTGGCACCTGTGGATTATCATGTAGTCCAAATCCCTGTGTCACCTAGAACGGGTACCCAGCACCACATCATGTTTTACTTGTTTCATATAACAAGACATTGCAAGGCCGTGTGTAGCACAGTTTATATGAAACAATTCTGAAAGTGCAGCACAATGATGATTGCCTGTATTTCTGCAGGAATTGGAGCTGTTGCAGGTGTGGTTCTTGTATATACTTGAACTGATTGGAGGAGAAGTCTGTGAAGACAAAATGTATCATCTTGTTTTCAACAGTTTGCAAGGCCCCTGAAAGACACTTATTTGGCCTGTATAGATAAGCTGAAATGTATCTATGTTTTTTTCTATACAGGAGAATTTAATATGCTATATAAATATGTCCTAAGGGGTAGAAGGCAGCCCTGCTAAAGAGAGTTTTTCTGCCAGAGTAGTGATGCTAGGTTAGCCTATAGCTATTAAATACTGAAGTTGAATCATAAGCAAGATACAAATCAGAATATCTCAGAGATAGGAATAGAGGTGATGTTAAGTCTATTACAAGAGCTTTAGAATACAGAAAGGACAAAAATGGTTGAATGCTGCAGTTAGTGGGTATCAAAACACCCGCACAAAGTTGACAGATAGGGACAGAGTGGTGCAGGAGGTTACTCAAGCCCAGCAACAGAGCAAGATGGGAATGTGCTCTAGTTGGTGTGTGCTTTCCTTTTGTATTCCTCCCTTCACAAAATTGTCCTTGGAATCATTGTATGATTATTAACTTTGCTGGGATTCACCATCTCCCAGATAAAAGTTTCACCTGCTTCCCTCTTCCTGTCCTTGAGTTGGGTGGGTGTGAGCAGTGTGGAAATGCAGAAAAAAAAACATGCCTGTATTTTTCTCTTCAGCTGAGCAAGGAGAAGGGAGGGAATTGCCAAACAAATCAGGCATTACAAATAGTCTTGGGTAGTTGAGGACAATCTGTGGACTGCCGGGTTCACCATGACAGGAAATGAGCCTGCATTATCTCCCTTTATTAGAAAATGGGCCAAGAGATGATTAAATAAACAGACTGCCACATGCTTTAATAAATGGGAAGACAACTGATTTATCAACATAACTTTAAGAAGGGAGAATAATTGGGGAAGTTGGCAGTAGATGAATCATAATATTAGTCTGCAGGACTTATGCTCTATGTTTAAAATAGATTTTATCAGACTTTTGCAACCTAGTGGAGCAGTTATAAAATCAAATGAAGAAATAATTCAAACAGAGTTCTCCTTCCCATGTGGGAGTTGCATAACTTGTCCTTTCTGCAGTCAAAGAGGTGGTTATAGTTTAAAATGCTACATGTCATTTTCCCATACCCATCAGCAGGTTAATTTGCAAGATTCTTGAGTCTTTCATAGAGTTGTTTTATATGGGGACAAAAGAGGAAACTGACATAGTCACTGACCCCACAGGGCATCCTGAAGAAAAAACACATGTCCAATTGGTTTATTTAGGGAAAAAGATGTCTGAAAGTATACGATTTCTTCTTTGCAGCCAACAGACAGACAAGGTAGCACCATGAGAGCTCTCAGAAGACCTTAAAAGTGTGCATCCATGGGGAGGCTATGGGGAAACATACTTAGCTTTAAGATATGTTATTTGTTTCATGTTGTTTTCCTGTGTGGCTAGCTTTATTTCCCACTGTCAGTAGTTCACCTTAATTCACTTCTGAGCCTCTTCCAGTGGCCAAAACACCAGAGGAATGGGTTTGCTATTACCTCCATCCCACCCTCACCCTTTGTATGTGACAGCTTGTCAAATTTCAAACACAGCAACTAAATATACTTTTTAGTGAGAATCTGTACGCAGCTGCCTCAGCACATAAATTTGTTGTTCAAATATTAGTACAGCTATGGCAAGTATTGCCCCTCTACTTCTTTCCTGGGATCCCTTTTCTCCGACAATGTATTCTACAGTATGTAGGACTTCAGAAATATACCATATAACTTTATGAACACATCTTGAGTAAAACAATCTTGGTTCATGGAATTTATTTAATTTATTGCCAGTTAACAAAACTTTTGATTACTGATCTGTGTATTGAGGAGAAAAAAGGGAATTAAACAAAACAGTTGGCAAAGAAACACCTTTCTTCCCTGGGCTCTAATTCAGTATAAAACTTCTTCCTGCTTGCAGGTCTCCACTCACCTTGAGTTTGCTAGGTTACATTCAGATACTCCTAATCCCTTCAGGGAGGTGAGGAGCAATGCAGGAGACTGGGGAGCTGTCTGTTGCTTCTTGATTCTTAGTTGTGTTCCTCCCCCCCAGCGTGGGTTTGCTGTGGGACACAGTCCCTCCACAGTGTCCCTGCTCTGCTGTGCTGGGACCCACAGTCCCTTCAGGGCTGTGTCTGCTCTGGCACATGGCCCTTCCTTCCAAAAATATGTCTCCAACCACGTCCCAACAGTGCCACCATTTGTCTTCTCCTCTTAACAGCTGCTGCTTTCTTAAATATCTGAGCAGAGGCACCATGCACTTGTTCAGCAGAAATTTTGGCACACGGTGGGTTTATTGCAGTGGTGTCAGGGGCAGATGGCAGTAGCTGGCTGGCACAGGACAGTACATGACCTCCTGCCACCATAACCCACCCTGCTAGCCCCGCCACCAAAACCCTTCCAGTAAGGCCCAGTACAAAGCAACCTCTTGTAAGTAAGTCATATGGGATCTCTTGGTTAAAGACTTACTTTCTGTTTCCAATTTTGTTTTAGGCTTTTTGCCTGTCTCTGGGTTATAGGTATCTTCATCAATCTTCTTATGTGACATATAAAAATATCTAGCATTTGACAGAAGTCTTATGAGCCTGAATTTAACAGTATTTGCAAAGTACTCTGGTGCCACAAAATAAGAGTTGTACCAAGAGAAGACCTTGCTCTTAATTCTACATCCTACCTTCAGCAGCAAACTGGATCCTTGCCACATACAAAAGAAATAGGAAGACCAAAGCTTTCTGTGTTCCTTAACTTGGTGTTTGCTGATTTGCTTTGCTGTTTCTATGGGAGTTACACTGGTGGGAATGGGAAGTGAGCAAGCTTTTCCCTGCTGGGCACTGAAGGGTCCATCTGTCAGAGGAGGGGAAGAGCATTTTCAGCCATAGTCTTGCCAAGCTGGTGAAGAGGTTTTTAAACTAAAGGTGCCAGCAGGAAGGGAACCTCAGTCCATCCCACTCCTACTAGTTTGATAGCAGTGCAAATCAGTTAGTTTCCCAGCGGATTCCTAAATAACTGGAAACTATTGATGGTAGCAAAATTTTCTTCAAAGGTCGAGGTAATAGAGTGCAGAATATAGTAATCTGCTTCACTTATTCTTCTCAAGCTGTTTTTTTTAATAAATCACATCCTATGAAAACATTGAGCTTTTTCTCAAAGTAATTTTTATAAACATTTTTTCATAAGAGCAGAAAGGAATAATTACATTTGAATGACAAAAAGTAGAGAAATATATTGCTTATATGCACTATTCTGCTTACTTTTGAAATGTTGGTTTCATTTAGATGCAGAGACTATCAGCCACAGTAGCAACTGGCTGGAATTGCATCTGAAAGTGGTGACCATCAGTGGAGTATAAAAATGGTGAAGTTGGTAATTGCCTCTATGAGTATGGACTTCCTCTGCAGGATAAACAAGGAAATTAGGATTTCCTTGCCTCATTATTCTCACTGTAAAAGCTTCCATTGGCTATGTGGTATGATTGGTTTCTGAAAACATTTTCATCTGGTATTTGGAGCTGCCTAAAAGTAATTATGACATGAAAGTCAAGATACCAAAGCAAGAAGCCTCTGTTTTCACACAAGTTCCACCAAGTCTTCTGTCTATTTCAGGATGTGCCATTAACAGTAAAGTAGTCATATAGTGCTCAGGTAAACACTTGAGAATTTCTGTTTTGTGCTTTTTGTTTTTCTAGGGTTATAGACCTCATAAATATCAGTTCCTCAGTCTTGTCACTCTGCCTCTGTGCATGAGGCCAAAATAGCTACTGGTATATGTCTAATTTATATCTTTTCACTAAAAAATTACCAGCTTTGTTGCATCTTTATCTATACCACAAAAGAATGTTTGCTCATCAGGCAATTCATTGGCAA